AACTGTGTTTTAATTGTTTAGGTAAACACCAAGTATTCACGTGTAAGTCCACTAAGAGATGCCAGAATTGTAACGGAAAGCATCACACAACTATCTGTAAGTCTGATAGCGGTCGTTATATAAGTGCAAAAAGTTCTACACAGCACACATCTGAAGCTACAGTGATGTATTCTTCCGCGCATCAATTTAGATCCGGGGTATTGCTAAAGACAGCAATGGCTGACGTTTGTTACAAAGATATATGTAGCCAAGCAACCATACTTTTTGACGAAGGAGCACAAAGAAGTTTTATCACCGAAACTCTAGCAGAGCAGACGAACTTTAATTAGAGAGGGGAAAATCCGAAACAATCCGAATATCTGCGTTTGGTGGCAAAGGTAATCAGATGCAACACTTTGACCAAGCTACAGTGTATCTTGTTACGGACAGAAAAAAGAAAATACCACTGAAAGTTCTGATTGTCCCGACTATAGCGACACCTATAGATAATACCCATAGGTCAGATATTTCAAGTTTGCCTTACCTTAAAGGATTAAAATTGGCACATCCAGTAACGCATGATAGAGAGTTCTCTATTTCCTTGCTAATCGGAGCCGACTTTTAACTGGGATATTGTTGAGGACGAGATTATACGTGGCACAGGGCCTACTGCCGTTAAATCGAAAAATTCGGATACCTTCTGTTCTGGACCGATCAAATTCAAGTAAAAGTAGCAGAAGTGTTGAAGCAGATTTTGAACGTAATGGTGTCTCACATACCAGAGGACATATCGATAGAACGTTTCTGGAGTCCTAGAAAATCTAGGAATTACACCAGATGACACAAGACCGGGAAAGTTCCCAAAAAGACGAAAAACAAAAATATCAGTTTTGCCCCAAAAATTTGAATTCAAAAGAGGGAAAAGTATACTGAAACGAAAACCTTAAAACGACCGGCCCCCGGAAACTCCCTTAAAAATTTATGAATTGCCCCTGAAACGCATTTTAAAGTACTGTCCAAAAGATTACGGAAACCCAAAAAAATTGCAAAAAGAAAAAATTTTTGGGAGATTTTTAAAATTTGTAAAAAACTAAAAAGACGGGGGTTCATTAAAAGGGATTTCAAGAGAAAGAGACCCAAAAACGAAAAACCCCAAATCCTTTAAATTTCCATCCCCCCAAATAAAAAAAAATTCCCTTTTCAACTACGAAAAAATAAAGAACTAAAAAGGACTGAAAGGCTCCGTAGGCATGCCAGTCTGAATGATTGCCTACAGTCCATACCCTCAGTCTTAAATGAACTCACCTCAATTTTGCTGAGATCTTGTCTGCATGCGTATGCTGTTACAACAGATATTGAAAAGGCGTTTTTGCAGGTGGGATTACATACAGATGACCGAGATATGACAAGATTTTTATGGCTGAAAGATCCGAATGACCCCAACAGTGACTTTTCAACTTATCGTTTTAAAGTTGTGCTTTTTGGTTCACCATTCATACTCAACGCAACGATACTAAAACATTTAGACAACAATCCACATACGACTGTATCAGAAGTATTACGTCAAGATTTATACGTCGATAACGTCATATATCCAGTTTCAAAGAAGAAGAAGAATGCCTTAATTACTTTAAAGAAGCACGCACCTTGATGTCCAAAGCCGGAATGAATTTGAGATCTTGGAACTCCAACAGCAAAAAGTTACAACAAGAAGCCGGCAGAGTAAACATATTAGATACTGACGACGTCACCAAAGTCCTAGGTCTACGTTGGGAGCCGTCAACAGATGAAGTGACCTATGTGAAGCGAGATATCCCTGTTTCTTCTCATGTAACAAAGAGAGTGATATTGAAATATTCATCTCAGAGCAAGTAAGACATCTAGACCCCTTGACTTCTCGACCCCTTAGGGTATTAAGATGACATCTAGACCCCTTGACTCTTAGACCCCTTGTAAGATGACTTTTCGACCCCTACTGACTAAGACATTTCGACCCCTGTTTTTAATGCTGGACTTTAAAAGAACCGTAAATATATTTTGAAAATATTGTAAGACTTATATATAATCTTAAAGATTTTTGTTTAAATTTATTTGTTTTTCTGAAATATCAGTTGCAAAATTTACATTTTTTAAATCTAATTTTGGTGATTAATAAACAAATCACAGTTTTCATTTGTTTAATTACGGACTAAAATCGGATTAAAGTCCCGTGGTTTAATGTAATGGTGCTAATTTATAATTTCGTCATTAGCGCATTAGAAAACAATTATTTATTAGATAAATAACATCGCGCGTTACAAATGATCTGTGATGTTATAGAAAACGTTTGCTAATTATATACACACATTTTTTAATAATATCATTTACTCTGGGACTATAAGTTTATGTCCCAGATTTACTCAAACTTGTGAAGATATACATACAAACGCGTATTTTCTACAACATTTCAGTTTTATTAATATTAAGCGTATTTCCTATTAATATTGCCTGATAAATAAGTGAAGGAATATTATTACAAACTTTTCTTTTTGTGTGTATATTTGTCATAATCATATTAATTTATTAAATGATAATGTCCGTTTTGTGTATTGCGTGCAAGGAGACTGTTCGTCCTTAACAACATGCCGTTACATGTGTCATTTGTGAGAAGGCGCAACACAGAACCTGCAACACTGGTTAGTAATGTTTCATTTTTTCCTTTACATATAATTCATTCGAAAGTCGTATTAATAACAACTAAAATTTTGTAAACTTCAGTTTATTGTTTTGTAAGACTTAATAATGCTACATTGGCAATGAACGTTTTTACTAAATGAAATATTGAATTTTGTGTAATAGTTTACGGAAATGTAATTATTGACAGCGTAATAATTTACGGAAGCTGACCCCCATATTTATCAAAATAAAAAAAACTATCTGTAATTTTAGGTAAATGATATAGTTGAAGATATATTTATTGACTTTGGCTGTCAGATATTTATGACTTTATGACAAAAAATATATATGACTCACTACTAAAACAATTAAAATTCGTAACGGTGAAAATTAGAATGAGCGTGCTTCAAACTGTATCCAATAAAAATAATTAAATAATAAGGATTTATTTTTTATACACATTTAATCACTTTTATACATATTTTGACCACAAAAAATGAAAGTGACTTTAATAAATTTTAATCATACAACTCCCGTGTGCTGGTTTATTACCATACATGTATGTGTTTAATCAGTGACACGTGATAGGATAAACACCGGCGCGTGTCATTAAATAATCAAATTATCGATCATGCATGTATGTGTTTATTCAGTGACACGTAATTGGATTAACACCGGCGCGTGCCGATACTAATCCGATTATCGGTCATTAGAATGGTATATACATGTATTATCAATAAAACATAACTTTATTTTTTTTATTTTGTTATAAGATGATGATGATTTGTATTTTGCAGGTATCAGTAGAATCGATTATTACAAGGCACGTAAATATGGAAGGGATTATCCGCCAGTTCACCCATTATGCTTTGTGACATTCCAATTTCCGTCTTTACTTTTGCGATAGTGAATTTGATGTTAGGTTTTGGTTATTTTTCAAGACTTAGTGTATTTCGTATCTTTATAATTATAAAGGTATTTTGAAATATATCCTTGTTATACGTTAAATTTATTTTTATATACGTTTTTCTTGTTTCATTCTGAAAATTGGTATGATTTCCCTTAAAATATATTTAATACATTTCAATTCAAAATCAAACATTAAAATCAACATTAGGTATTCAGTGTATGGACGCTACCGAATATGTGTTAATTCAATTGTAATAAAATGTTCAACATTTAATCAAAACAATCGGAACATCATTCGCAGTATAAAATGCTGTTTAACATTGACTCAATAAAACGAAATCGTCTTCATAACAATGATGACGTTATCAAAAAAAACGAAGCGAGGAACCAAAGGGCTTGGTTCACTAACCTCATAAAAGTGCCCTAAAAATTTGAAAAAATAAAATATCTTAACCAAATCAAATGTGTTTGTTTTTATGTAGACCTATCCTAAACCTGTACAAATATGTAGCCCATTAAGATTTTGTGATGAATTTTTCCAACAAAAATATCACTTTCACACATCCTGGTTTTAACAAAACTGGCTTTTTTGTGATTTTTTTGCATGTTTTATCCTAAAAATAGGTATGAGCCACCACATGTGCCAATTTATCACTTCGCATCAGTGTTCAATAAATAAAAACAAACATGAAAATGTATGTTTCCAAGTGGCACACGTGGTGGCTCATATCTAAATTTGAACTTAAGGCACAATCATAATTGAAAAAATCATGTTTAAAAATTTAATTTCAAATAAAACAATTATGTCATAACATGTTGTATCAATAAATAAATTACAAATATTTATAATAGATAATCATTTCAGCAATGTCTGTTGTTGAGAAACTATTAGATTTAATGTTTTATCTGTTAAATATAATTTTCCAACAACAAGGACGAAACGATATTTTCGAAACGGTTTGAGTACGAATACCGCTGTTGCCAACGATAAATGTTTGTAAACAACGACACCACTACAAACAAGGTAGATTTAAATGTTTATTATATTCTTACCCCCAAAATAAATATTTCACATTATTAAACATAGATCTATATATATTTTAAATACTGTATACTTTATTTGAGAATAGTCATATTCTTCTAAATTAAATAAATAAACGATCGACTAGCAGCAGCGGTGCAATCAAGTGTAGAGATCCAAACTTGAATGGCTTCAATCTTAAATGGATACGTATGTGAACAAATTTTATTGAAAATGAATCTACAATGTAATTAAGTTATGAAAAATATGAAAACGGTATTTGAAATATGTGCTATAAATGAATATTTAAACAATAAACAGAGCAGTCTGCTATTTTTAGCTCATGCGTGCGATCGATATCAAATACTTGATTACTTGGCGCCCAAGGTATGAATTCCGCTGTAGCGCAGTGGATAAGACATCTGCTTTTGACGGGAGCGGCCCGAGTTCGAATCCCACTACTGATGATTTTTTTTTATTAGTTTTTTTTTTCTTACAGATATGGTCAAGCATTACATCTGCACAATTTGCAATAGAAAAGCAAATCGTCGAGACAGAAGACCTGTACCGGCAAATATTCAGAAATATTTAAAGAAAAATCTGTCAATTACTTGCACACTCGATAGTGTTGTGTGTTCTGGATGCAGAATCAAATTTTATAAAAAACTTAGAAAACCAAAAGAATCAGGTCCCGTACCGGTTGATGAGAGGGGTGATGCTGGCGATGCACTCGTTCCGCCGTCCACAAACGAACGATTCACTAGTCCTCCATCGGTAAGTGCACGCGATTACAATCATAATATATTTAAGAAATTAATAATAATCAATAAGTAACATTACATGGTATAAATGCGTTGTTTTAATGTTGTATTATCTGTAACCTAAATAGATATTTAACATGGACTGTTAGGCACACGTTCCACAATATATAACATAGGTAGCTTAAATCATCATATTTACTTTGTGTTTGAGTTTGAAATAGTTTTTTGTCAAATGGGATTGCAGTATTTTAATTGTTAAATATGAAAAATGAGATGAATATGCTTAATTCAAAATAAAAATATATGTTCTGTTCTGTTCAGTATTTTAAATGAATCGTAACACATTTACTTTGGTAATCAGCAAACTGTGAATCAATGTAGTAAAATCGACTGTTTATATAAATATTTTAATTTGAATTGAAATGAATATAATTAATTTAAAAACACCAAGTTCGTTAAAAGTTTATTAGTACACAAAGAAATTGGTCACCGCGGCCAAACCTGTTCATTACTACGTATTCCACAAATCAGTCGAGCGGCTCTTGGTAAAATTAAGTTTTAAAATGCTCAACACTTACTTATACTTAAAACTTCTTAGGACATTATTATTATACCATTTCTTACATTACAGGTAATGCTGAAAATCTCTTCCACAAGCAGAAGCCACAGCCGCTGTTTCGTGTGCAAAAGGCCTGGACCAAAGTTGGTGTGCCTTCCAGCAGAAGGGCGCTTTACAGTCTTCCTTGACCACAACATACTAGTACCAGCAGACGCAAGGTGTTGTCCAGTCCATATTTCTGATGGGACTCTGACTCAAGACTCTTTTTCAAACATACAGACGCTGACAAGTACTTCTTTGCTTAATCGATCTTCAATATGTAATATACTTCAAAAAATGAGAAACGCTTACCTAAATCAGAATACATCACTTAATTTTGATGCATTTAGACGAACGTGATTATCCATCTCTTACTGGGCTTACCAAACCACAGTTTGATGATTTTTTTCAGTCATTTGCTTCATCACATTAAAACAACGCATAAAAGGTCTCCAAGAACAACCGTTGGACTTTTTCTTGTTAAGCTTTACTCTGGAATGTCCAATAAACTCCTGTCTACAATATTTGGCTTAAGCAAGTCAAGCGTTCGCCGCGCAATTGAGACCGTTCGTCTAATATCAATGAGAACATTTGTTCCGCTATATCTTGGCATTGAAACTGTCCAAGGTCAACCCTCATTCAGAACCACACACGCCATTTTGCAAAGACACTTTTCAACGCTGATGACAACCAACTGATCCTTGTTCTTGACGGAACATATATTTATATAAATAAGTCAAATAACTTCAAGTTCCAGAGGCGTTCATTTAGCATGCACAAAGGCCGGCCATTGGTTAAACCTATGGTTGTTGTTACAAACAACGGGTCACTTTGTAACTATAGTTGGCCCTTACCTTGCAGATGGCAAAAACAACGATGCGGCTATACTGAACCATATGCTACGTGCCAATATTCAAAACTTCCGGGAGTTTTTACAGGAAGGAGATATTCTGGTAGTTGAACGTGGCTTCCGGGATTCGCTGACTCTCCTCGCTGACCTTGGAATCAACGCTGAAATGCCTGCCTTGATCAGCAAAGGACAAAAGCAGCTATCGACGAAGGAAGCTAACTCCAGTCGGCTAGTTACAAAAGTATGTTTAAAGGCACATCGTGCATCATAAATACATATTTTTGTCATTCTTTATAAATGTCAGACAAGTTATAATAATGCTTTAATAATGAATTTAGAGTATGTTTCAATTAGTTAATTTACAACTTAAGAAAATAGCGCTGAATATGTTGTAATATATCGTAAAGTGGCATAATATATACAAAGTAGTATTTTGACTTCCGTACAAAAACTTATCCACTATGTAATTAAACCAATTGTCAACTGTGTTGGAGTAGCAAAAATCATTGTTTGTGTATAAAGCAAATTATCTAGTTGCTGGGTCATATGGGGGTTGCGTTCGTTGAACGCCGCCTTTCCTTGTTGATCTTGTTTATCATATTTTATGGAAAATGTAACATGGTACTTTTTTTAGGAATAAATTGATAGCATGAATTGATGGGCCTTTAATATATTTAATCGGGTTTCGTAGAATATAAATATTTGTTTAGGCAAATGAAAAACATTTGATGCAGTAACCATATGCTATGTTTTTTTAAAAATTAGTCTGCTTTAATAAAGCTAAAATGTAAATAATACAATAACTTATAAATAATATTCAAAACATTTTGTTTTCTTAAAAAAGCCAGGGTGAAAATGGTTATTATCATATCTAATAGGATACAAAAAGGTGTTACTCATGATTTATGCGTACATCAGCTTATTTTTTTAAAAAATAAAGTTTCTCAGCTGTATATTGCTTAGTACGTATTTACGTTTTTTGGACGATTCATGTTATCAAATTATCATTATTAAAAAATAAATAATACAAATAATCATGTCATCAAAAATTAAACAGTGTCTTTCTTAAAGAGTTGGACGAAATATATACGTTATGTTCATAGAAGAAAAGTATTGACCTAGTGCTTGAACTAACGACCCATAGTTTCAAAAAATGACAGTATTTCTAGCCTATTTAGATACTATTCAAATTGAGTTTATGTATAAAGGTTGTTTACCTTAAAACTTAAATGAATATAGTGTAACGTTTGTGTTTATTTGTAATTATACCATTTCTAATTTTCAGGTAGGATTGGTTGTTGAATCGGCCAACGCTCGAATCAAACGGTTCAAAATGCTTGCAACAGTACTTCCATGCAGCCAGGTGCCCTTCATTGGAGACTTTGTTAGGATTGTATGGTGGCTAATGTAATAAAACCTTCCTGCACTGAGTTCACCGTCTCAGACAAAGGCAATACGGCAAGTTGCCCAACAAATGTTGTTTTGCTGAACAGCCAATGTGACTTTTACAAGAGTATGTACAAGAGCGTGGTCTCGAACGGAAGTTAAAAAGTATGGAAAAGTCCCCGTGAGAGATGTACCGTTTCCGCGACTGTCAGAGGAAAATTTACCACGACCTTTACGCTTGGGTGTTATATCAGTTTGAAGCTTGCGTCCAGTTACATCCAGGGAGCCATCTTCACTGGGGGCATATTGAACATACATTGTCCATTGTAGATGACACGTCACTTAACTGACAGTTTACGGTTGCAAAGGAGTTCGGCCATCACACAAGCCAGCAGCGAAATTCTCATGTGGATACGGTCCAGTGATCACGGCAGTAGAGGCTTGGGTACTGCCAGTGCCGTGCTGGGGCACGAGTTGTTGGAATGTGCGCGCATGTTTCGGCCATCGTCTGGTATCTTTTTTTGCTAGGCATCAAAGAAAGCACGCGGTACGTGTAAGGGACTGGGGTAGTCATCTAGAAGATGCCCCGCTACATTCCAAATCGACTCCAGTTCTGACAGTGATTAAACATTTGCAAATAATGAATACAAGAGACAACGGACTTTTACAATTGTAAAATTATAAATGATTCTTTATCTTTTTATCATTTTTAACGGCTTTTTAAACTGTTAAGATAATCGACAATCAGTAACTTAATCAATAAGAATAATTTGGTAATTATAATACAATATAAAAATGTTGTAATTATTATTCCTGTAGGTACATTTATTGACTTTGTAAAGAACTTTTTTTGCCAGACAGTCAATAGCTTCAGTTACTCATTTAATTATGACAAATTAAAAAATAATTATTCAATTTCTCTTACACAGTGTAAGATGAAAAGGTATCAAAATGGGTATTGAACCGCGTCACTCGCTGATGAATAATCAAAATATTACTGCGAGCTGTACAATCAGTACGGATGTGCGTGAACAATTTTTTTTGGTTATATAATTAAATAAAAAAGATTATTTTTTTCGTTCTGAGTGATAAAAATGGAACATATTTTCAATCGACATGATCAAATTCAAAAATATTCTCCATCGCCAGTCCGGCCGTGAAAATATATAGAATCTTATCATATTTTCCTGAAAATATTTTCTAATTTCACTCAAACGAAAAAATGTCCTCTAATTATATAGCTGTATAAAGAAGGTAAATAAATACATGTAATAAAAATGGCGGAGACTGTTTTTGAAAAAAAAAAATGAAATAAACATTGTACAAACTCAAAAAAGAAAAGTGAAATTGAAAATACATGATTTTTTTTTGAAAAAAAATCACTGCTTTTGTTATTGCTTTAATTATCGTCAGATAATAGGTCCGAAATGAAACGAGCTTCATTTACATAATATGTGTAATGTTAAAATTAAAAAAAGTGATATAAATAGGTATTTATGTTTATAGTTTCTATAATTAAGAATCTATATTTTATTTCTCAGTTCTCTAAAAATAAAAAAATTCAAACGGCGCTATGAAAACGTCAAAATTTGCGGATTATTTTCCCGCGTCGATGACGTCGCGCTAACAATGTACATAATACGTACATGTTTCTCAGGCTTAGAAAACAACGTCATATATGATAATAATGAAATAAAAATAGCTGATTTTAAAATAAGATTGTTCAAATCTGAATTACTGTAAGTTTCAACACTTTTCGAGGTTGGGCCAAATTTGATGGTTAGTGAACCAAGCCCTTTTGTAGCTACTAGCTCTATTTACAACAACAACGAAAGTGTATATATTGTAAATATTGTAGTTATAACATACATGTATATAAAGAGAGTGATAGTGTCTGCGTATTCTATGTATTGTTATTTCAATGTAATGTGTGTACATGCATATTTATTTGTGTTACTGTTTTTGTAAATAATATACATAAATGAAAATTGTTCTAACCTAGTCATTACTTTGTTTTTATCCCCCGCCGATGGAATCGGGAGGGGGATATAGTTTTGGCGTTGTCCGTCCGTCCGTCTGTCCGTCCGTCCGTCCGTCCATCCATCCGTCCGAATTTCGTTTCCGGAGTAGTTCTCTGCAACTAATGGCTGGAATTCAACAAAACTTTATGGGAATGTTGATCAGCATGTGAAGTTGTGCACCTGGGTATTTTCGTCTGGATATTTTTAGTATTTTTAGAGTTATTGCCCTTGACTCAGTAAAATTTTGTCCGAATTTCGTTTCCGGAGTAGTTCTCTGCAACTAATGTCTGGAATTCAAACGAAACTTTTATGGGAATGTGATCAGCATGTGAAGTTGTGCACCTGGGTATTTTCGTCTGGATATTTTTAGTATTTTTAGAGTTATTGCCCTTGACTTAGTAAAATTTTGTAATTTTCAACTTGTGTCGCATGAACTCAAAAAGTATTTGACTAGAGTCATGAAACTTTACAGAATGTTGATCATATGTGTAGTTGTGCACCTGGGTATTTTCGTCTGGATATTTTTAGTATTTTTTAGAGTTTTTGCCCTGCACTTAGTAAAATTTGTAATTTTCAGCTTGTGTTCGCATGTAACTCAAAAAGTATTTGACCTAGAGTCATTGAAACTTTACAGAATGTTGATCAGTATGTGTAGTGTGCACCTAGGTATTTTCGTCTGGATATTTTTAGTATTTTAGAGTTATTGCCCTTGACTCAGTAAAATTTTGTCCGAATTTCGTTTCCGGAGTAGTTCTCTGCAACTAATGGCTGGAATTCAACGAAACTTTATGGGAATGTTGATCAGCATGTGAAGTTGTTTATCCCCCGCCGATGGAATCGGGAGGGGATATAGTTTTGGCGTTGTCGTCCGTCCCCGTCCGTCCGTCCATCATCCGTCGAATTTTTTCGTTTCCGGAGTAGTCTCTGACAACTAATGGGCTGGAATTCAACAAAAACTTTTATGGGAATGTTTGATCAGCATGTGAAGTTGTGCACCTGGGTATTTTCGTCTGGATATTTTTAGTATTTTTAGAGTTTTATTGCCCTTGACTCAGTAAAATTTTGTTGAATTTCGTTTCGGAGTAGTTCTCTGCAACTAATGTCTGGAATTCAAACGAAACTTTATGGAATGTTGATCAGCATGTGAAGTTGTGCACCTGGGTATTTTCGTCTGGATATTTTTAGTATTTTTAGAGTTATTGCCCTTGACTTAGTAAAATTTTGTAATTTTCAACTTGTGTCGCATGTAACTCAAAAAGTATTTGACCTAGAGTCATGAAACTTTACAGGAATGTTGATCAGTATGTTGTAGTTGTGGCACCTGGTATTTTCGTCTGGATATTTTTAGTATTTTTTTTTAGAGTTTTTGCCCTGCACTTAGTAAAATTTGTAATTTTCACTTGTGTCGCATGTAACTCAAAAAGTATTTGACCTAGAGTCATGAAACTTTACAGGAATGTTGATCAGTATGTGTAGTTGTGCACCTAGGTATTTTCGTTCTGGATATTTTAAGTATTTTTAGAGTTATTGCCCTTGACTCAGTAAAATTTTGTCCGAATTTCGTTTCCGGAGAGTTCTCTGCAACTAATGGCTGGAATTCAACGAAACTTTTTATGGGAATGTTGATTCAGCATGTGAAGTTGTGCACCTGGGTATTTTTGTCTGGATATTTTTAGTATTTTAGAGTTATTGCCCTTGACTTAGTAAAATTTTGTAATTTTTCAACTTGTGTCGCATGTAACTCAAAAAGTATTTGACCTAGAGTCATGAAACTTTACAGGAATGTTGATCAGTTATGTGTAGTTGTGCACCTGGGTATTTTAGTCTGGATATTTTTAGTATTTTTAGAGTTATTGCCCTTGACTTAGTAAAAATTTTTGTAATTTTTTCAATCACAATCATCAGTCACCGGGGCCAGAAAAGTTGTTTCAAAAATGCAAAATTAAAAAATCTTGTCTGACAGTACAAGGCCTAGAGCTTTTGATATTTGGTATATGATTATAACATATAGGTCCTCTGCCAAAATTGTTCAAATTTTAGCCCTGGTGGGTCAAAATTGGCCCCACTCCAGGGGGGTCATAGATTTTCCTTATATGTATATAGTGAAAAAACTTAAAAACTCTTCTTGTTTGAAGGTACAAGGCTTCAAGTTCAAAGAATTTTACAGTTTATGCCATGATTAATATATAAATAAAGCCTTATGTCTTCAGTTGTTGTGTTAATAATAACCAGTACTCGGCGGGGGATATAAATTCAACGAATTTGCTTGTTTATTTAAAAAAACACGGTCTTTCCTAATATAACAATACATTAATTAAGGGGTCGAAATGTCCGGTATATTTAAGGGGTCTAAATGTCTTAGGGGTCTATGTGTCAGGGGTCGAGATGTCTAAGGGGTCGAGGTGTCAAAGGGTCTAGATGTCATAGACTCATCTCAGATATACGACCCCCTTGGAATACTATGCCCAGTTACCGTCCGAGCCAAACTTCTGTTACAAGACATTTGGAAACAAAAGTACGAGTGGGATGTACCACTTCCAGAAGATATTCAACAGTCATGGTCAAGCCTAGCGAAAGATTTGAACACTGTTGCCACATTTAAATTCCCGAGAAGATATTTCTCTAAAACAAGCGAAACCGGAAGTGACAGTCGGACAACCTTGCACATCTTCGTGGATGCAAGTATTAGATCGTACGGTACAATGGCGTTCATCTGTAACGGGAAAGATTCAACTCTGGTGATGGCTAAGAATCGCGTGGCACCGCTCAAACCCTTAACTCTGCCCAAACTTGAACTCATGGCGGCGCTGATTGGAGCTAGACTAGCGAAATATTTGCAGACTACATTTCCTACAGCAGACATCACACTATGGTCCGAAAGTCAAATCGTACTTTATTGGCTATCTACGAAAAAGACACTGAAGAGATTCATCGAGAATCGTGTAAAAGAGATATGTGACCTTACGAGCCAATACGCATGGAAATATTGTCCAATAAGCGAAAATCCAGCCAATTTACTGACAAGAGGAATAACAGCTGAAAAAATTATGCAGAACGATCTTTGGATGAAGGGACCGATATGGTTATGTGACAAGACAAAATGGCCGTTATGGGAGGTCTCAAACAGGTTACACGTGCAGACGATAATTGAAGAGCAAGCCACCGGAAGTCAGCAAGCAGAGATAGACGAGCAAATGATATCTAAGTTACATATCACGTACCTAGTAATAACATGCAGAATATTATTGACATTAGGAAATTCAGCAATCTAAGTCGGTTACTTCGAATTACAGCTTATATTCGCTGATTTATTCAAAACTGCAAGGTCGACCAGTCGAGACGAAACTTCGACCATCTTTCTACTAGTGAACTTCAGCAAGCAGAACAGCGATGGATACATTATTGTCAAGCAGATGTATACAGTACAGAGATACGTGAATTAGAGAGAAACCAGGTCAAAACACCATTAATAAAGCAGCTTCGGTTATTTCGTGACCAGACCGGATGTATCCGTTGCGGCGGAAGACTTAACAACGCAGCCGTGGATGACGTCAAAAAGTACCCGTACCTCCTACCAAAGAAGTCTAGACTTACTAAATTGATAGTTCGCAATGCGCATGAGTTACTTGGCCATAGTAGTTTAAATGCTACAGTTACCAGCATAAGACAGTCATTTTGGGTACCAGCGATACGACAATGCGTGAACGCCGTAATCCGAAACTGTGTCACATGCCGTAAAGTGCACGGACTTCCATACAAGTCACCTGAAGTGCCCCCATTGCCGAAATTTAGAGTAGAAGAAGCCCCACCCTTCACCATTACCGGAGTAGATTTTACTGGTACATTATATATCAAAGAACCCTCTGGAGCAGAGAAAAAGGCATGCATATGTCTATTTACGTGTGCTGTTACCAGAGCCGTTCTTCTTGAAGTAGTTACAAGTTTATCAGCAGACTGTTTCTTACAAGCTGTACGACGATTCTCAAGCAGGAAGTCGCAACCCAAGCTCATAGTTTCAGACAATGCTAAAACGTTCCAGACGGCGTCTACTTATTTGAAAGCCATGTTCGAATCCAAGGTCGTCAGAGAGTCCCTAGCAAATACTGGCATTGATTGGAAATTTATACCTGAGAGAGCCCCATGGTACGGAGGTTGGTGGGAGCGACTGATAGGTCTTACAAAACAAACTCTCAAGAAAATCCTTGGCCGTGCAATGGTAGATTTGGAGACTCTACAAACCATTATTACCGAAATTGAGTCCCTGCTGAACGATCGACCACTGACGTTCGTTTAATCAAGCCTAGAAGACCCTGAGCCATTGACCCCAGCACATCTGTTATATAGTCGTAGGATTAGGTCCTTACCTTACGTTGGAGCGGAGATTGAACCCAGAATTCCATCAACTGTAGAACGCAACATTATCTCTAAACGGGCTAGGAACCAATTCCGAATTATTAAACAGTTTTGGACACGTTGGAGAACGGAGTATCTCACAGCACTCCGTGAGCGACGTAACAAACCCGGAAATAACTCACAAACTATCTGTACCGGGGAAGTGGTACAGGTCCAGGAAGATTCGCCACGAACCCGTTGGAAGCTGGCAGTAGTCGATAGCCTTATCGCCGGGAGGGAAGGCTTGGTTCGAGCAGCTAGAATTCGTTTTAGCAATGGACTGTACGCTACTAGACCGATTGTGAAACTTTATCCACTCGAAGTAATAGACAATAGAGACTGTGATTAACAAAACGAGAAGAAAGACTTCATAAATTGTGAAAATTATTCGAGATTTTATAGAGACTTTCGAATAGCTCACTGAAAAAAGTTCAAAACTACACTTATTCATTTAAATAATCTAAGAAATGAATGCACCGCGTTAACAGAGACTTTCAGATTTAAATGATGAACATTTTATTATTAAGTAATACATTTCTTTTAAATCAGATTTATACATTGATAACATACGTGCAATTTCATGTGCTATTTATTACTTTTCGCGGCCCCCAGGATGTCGTAGATTAACATATACTTTCCAGCGCTACTTTGTACTAAATTGCGCTTTGTGATAAGTTGACGTCTGTGTCGTCATTATTGTTTATCATTGTTGTTGTTATTGTTTGACGTAGAGACTTGTAGTAAACTGAGAAAAGAAGACACAACGCTGTAGTACTTTATCAATCAATATACGATATTCTGTCTATTAATATTACCTCCACTTAGGGGTAAATTTTATTCAGGCCTGTTCAGTTATCTCGACAGGTTAAGTCATGCAGTTGAAATGCTGCTGAACGTGGTGCTACTAAGGGGCTGTGAACAGCATGCATGTAATACTCCTTTCATTTAATACTGCTTTGATATGTAAAGATGCATTAAAACCGACCTAACCCTAACCCCGAGAGTGTGGACACAGGATTTCTCTCCTTCTTCGGACTTAGATTTAGAAACTTATTTAATGAACAGATTGAAAAATGAGAAGAAATCTGCCAACAGGAAAAAGATGATGGCAAACCAACGTGACAGGATGCAGTCTTATATAGAGGACGCTCTCTCAACTTTAAATGAGCAAGGTGAAAATTCACAGTTAGATACACCTAACCCTAAAGAGTGAAATAGTGTGATTGGTGTTTTGACACACAGGACTCTGCTTTTTTCCGTTGATTCATTCGTCGATTTACATTAATTCTTGGTTTGTTCTTAATTACCATTGTAAGTAATCATTTTCAATCGGCCAATTCGGGAAATGTGCAATAGTCTTAAACAGATAGGACTGTCGTAGACCTTCTAATTATAACAGTTGATTCCATCGTTGATTTTAATTAATTCTTGGATCTTTCGTAAATTAACATTGTAAGTAATCATTTTTAATCGGCCAATTTGGGAAATGTGCAATAGTCTTTAACAGATAGGACTGTCGTAGACTTTTTCATTCGTGATTTTATTCGTTGATTGGAGATTAATTAATAGTTCGTTGTAATAAATTGTAACAATCATTTTAAATCTTTTTCCTCCGCCTGTCTGACGGGGTCATCGTCCCGCGGAGGTGAACATTGATAGCACCTGTTAGCTGCTATCAATGGCCAACGGTCAGACATTTTAATTCTGAAATGCAAAATCTATTTTCATAGAGGATATCTTATATTGTACGGAAGAGTAGACAACAAATAATATTCAATATCTCTCCGTGATCATTACGGAAAGATTTAGGATAAATGTATCAAGCATTAGAGAATGATAACTTATCCAAAAACAGAAAGGCGCGGGTGGCGTTAGAAAAAAAAAGACCCTGGTAGATAAAGTCATAAAGGAAGCATGTGACATCTAGACATCTCAGTGCCAATATGAGATCACCCCTCACGTGCTGTAGCTGTCTTGCTGTTTTACGTACATCGTCGTGCTGATAGATTAGAGCTTCACCAATAGCGTCAAACAATAACCTCTTAAATCTGCATGATCGTTTGCAGCAAACGCAAGGTTTGCACACCATTAAATAAGACATGTCCATTTCTTCTAATGGAAAGTCCATTTCTTCATCACGCATAGGTAATTGGCACACCTCGCAAGTACTTGGACCGCAGAAAACTCTTTCACATGTTACGGAGCTAGGCGGTTCAATTACTGCACCTCTCATTGGTGATGAGTTGCATTTCTGGAACAAGGCCATTCCTCCGTCAGCCATAGGTAACTGGCACACTTCGCACATACTGGGACCACCGCACAAACTTTCACATGTTACGGGGCTAGGTTCCCCATATATTGCTTTCTTCACCGGTGATAAGTGACCTCTCTTGAACATATAAGCAATGTCAACCTCATCTAAAGCCGTTCCAAGGCATTCATCCAACAAAGATCGAATAAGCATCTCGTTTGAAGATGACATGGTTAGCTGTAAAATATTAAATTAAGGTCGGTAATTAAAAGTCTAGTGGCCAACAATAACAAAAAAGTAGGTACAACACGGCTCAAAGCTAAATATCATACAGGATAATCTGAGTACTCATAGGAGAAATGTCCGTTATTGTAAGTAAAATTCATATGGTTCAGGGTAATAGAAAATATGAAAGTGAGTAATAGACTGGGTAATAGACTGGGTAATAGAGGGTAATAGAAAATATGAAAGTGGGTAATAGACTGGGTAATAGAGTCATAGAGGGTTATGGTGAGTAAAGGGTTAAGAGTAATAGAAAATATCAAAGGGGGTAATAGACTGGGTAATAGAGGGTAATAGGATTTTTGGAAAAATATAAAAGTGGGTAATAGACTGGGTAATAGAGTAATAGAGGGTTATGGTGAGTAAAGGGTTAAGAGTAATAGACTGAGTAATAGTAATAGAGGGTTATGATGAGTAAGGGGTTAAGAGTAATAGAGTGGGTAATAGAAAATATGAAAGTGAGTAATAGACTGGGTAATAGATTGGGTAATAGAGTGTAATAGAAAATATGAAAGTGGGTAATAGACTGGGTAACAGAGTCATTGAGGGTTATGGTGAGTAAAGGGTTAAGAGTAATAGACTGGGTAATAGAAAATGTCAAAGTGGGTAATAGACTGAGTAATAGAGGGTAATAGGATTTTTGGAAAAATATAAAAGTGGGTAATAGACTGGGTAATAGACTGGGTAATAGAGTAATAGAGGGTTATGGTGAGTAAAGGGTTAAGAGTAATAGACTGAGTAATAGAGTAATAGAGGGTTATGGTGAGTAAGGGGTTAAGAGTAATAGAAAATATCAAAGTGGGTAATAGACTGGGTAATAGAGGGTAATAGGATTTTTGGAAAAATATAAAAGTGGGTAATAGACTGGGTAATAGAGGGTAATAGAAAATATGAAAGTGGGTAATAGACTGGGTAATAGAGTAATAGAGGGTTATGGTGAGTAAAGGGTTAAGAGTAATAGAAAATATCAAAGGGGGTAATAGACTGGGTAATAGAGGGTAATAGGATTTTTGGAAAAATATAAAAGTGGGTAATAGAAGAGTAATAGACTGGGTAATAGAGTAATAGAGGGTTATGGTGAGTAAAGGGTTAAGAGTAATAGACTGAGTAATAGAGTAATAGAGGGTTATGGTGAGTAAGGGGTTAAGAGTAATAGAAAATATCAAAGTGGGTAATAGACTGAGTAATAGAGGGTAATAGGATTTTTGGAAAAATATATAAGTGGGTTATAGACTGGGTAATAGACTGGGTAATAGAGGGTTATGGTGAGTAAAGGGTTAAGATTAATAGACTGGGTAATAGAAAATGTCAAAGTGGGTAATAGACTGAGTAATAGATTGATCTGCCCTTTGCAACCAATGTAGACTCAGATCAGCAGAATTGCACCCATGCAAGCTGATGAGAATCTGCCCTTTTGCTGTTCAGGTAAGAGTCAAACTTAAAACTAGTGTCTGTAGCGAACAGACATCAAAATTAACACATGTTTGGGTATATTGTCTTTATTCAATATTGAAATAACATTAAATGGCATTAAAGCTATGCAGATTTTAATCAGAGTTATTGTTTATATATTGATAAAATATGAAAATACACAGTCAGGCAATGACAGTAGTGTAGGAAAGACTGTCATGTGCAAGAAAACAATCTGAACTTACGACAGATTTTGAAAAAAAATATAAAAAAAATCCTTACCTACCCTACCTAGCAAATTTTGGGAAGGTTACCCTAAACAAACAATTTTTTTTTTGCCTTATGTATGATGAAGGCTTGCATAGATGCTTTTGTATTATGAACATAGATATGTTACATTTAAATTTATAAGAAGTTCCTTTATGCCACAATCTAAAGGCTTCTTACAAACGGCACAGTGTTTACATAACTTATATATAAGTGCGTATGGTATGTAACCGTTGAGAAATATACAAAATTATGTTGATACGGGAAAATGTCGTTACATACATTTGATACGAACACCTGTTCTGTACATTTCTTTGATAAGAACACCTGTATATTTTTATAACATAGTGCCATAGTTTTAACTTACCTACTTACGCATATATCCAGCAATGCGGTCAGATATGTTGAATACATGGAATGCCTATATCGCAAAGCGTGGTCACACAATGTGAGACAGTTTTAGAGTTCCGGTCTCAATACTTGGCAACAGGACGGTAATTATTGGTTGATATTAATGAATAATTGTGGCCTTAATAAAGGCTTGAATGGCCACATGATTAAGTATATTTTCGGTTTTCCTAACATGGTCATGTTTACTGCAGAAATATATTTTATAGATATTCTGACATAATTCCGGATACATTCATTGCAAATTTTACACTTTTACGTATGTTTGTTAAAAATCAAGGAGATTTAGTAACATTTATAACACCTTTTCTTATTTGTTTCCATTTTAAAAGACACCATGCTTTCTTTAAATATCTTTGTTTAATTTTATAATATTGAAACATGTTGGGAGTCTTCAAAATGATATTTGATAAAATAATTTTTTATTGGCAACGTCCTGTTGCCAAGTAATTTTCATTTACATTTAATAGTGCATCCAACTGTTTTCATAGCCTTCTTTACTGGGTTTTGGCACGTGGAGCAAGGTAGCACTGGATCTATGTCTAACATTTTCAATATCATTGGCTACGTGATAAGGTACTTTTCCTCTAAGACATGGTCTTTTGTCACATGCTTCGTTTGGATTGCCATGTATGCTGATGCTGGTGTTACACTTATTACCTCTGTCTCCACATAAAAAAACTATAGGTACATCTTCATCAATCTCAGTCTGAATATCAAAATTATTGTCTTCAACACCCTCTTTTTAGTCCCCTTCCGGTTTAACATGAGGGGACTTTAGGTTTATCCTCTGTCCGTCCGTCTGTCTGTCCGTCCGTCTGTCTGTCAGTCCGTCAGCCCGTCCACAAATTGGATCCCGCGATAACGCAAAAAGTACTAAAACTATTTTTATGAAACTTGAAATATGAGTATTATGGAGATTATGCACATCTTTTTCTTTTCTTCCTATGTTGAAAATTCTCGTTGCTATGGCAACAAATAGCCTGAATTTTAAGATTTCTGATTTAAATTTTCAGCTTTTTCACTATAAGTTCTTTATTTCTTAAGGTGTTTACTTCAAACTTTAAATATAAGTTTCTGGTCATCAACCACATCATATGTGACAAGGTTTACAACTCTAGCACAAAAAATATCAGTATTACCTCCCTTGAACTTAGAATTTTTATGAAAAAATATGTTGTCTTTTTTAACTAACTTCTTTATTTCCTCATGTATCGACTTCAAACTTAATATATATGTTTCTTATAACCACTCAACATTTTTGAGAAGGTTAAATACTCTAGCAAGACTATTTCTAGAATGTTGTCCCCCTGGAACTTAGTTTTTTTTTCGAGAAATTGGTATTTTTTACTCCAACTTCTTCATTCCTTATAGGATTTACTTTAAGATTCCACATCGTTATAATATGACAAGGTTGTAAAAACATAATTTCCTTACTAGGCAGGGAAACGTAACACATTACTGTGATATAGACAAACTTAGGACTCAAAAGATTTAAGTTCATTCATGTCATTCATTCACTGGTAAAATTGAATGGCCAATGGCCCATCAGAATGTTGCTGGGGTACTAACCGGTAGGGGACTTATGGATTGCT